GTGTGTGTGTGTGATTTTTCTTTCCGGCGCCTTGACACCGTTCAGCTGCGCGTCACAATAGTCCCACCATGCCTGGCAGTCGGCCCGGGTTCCCATGTGCCCATGGGGCAAAAGCCAAATGGTACCAGTGAACATCCCAATCCAACCACTATAATATAATAATATAGGTTCTAAAATGGGTGGTGAATTCACCTACTCCAAATGGTACAATTGGTTTTCACCCACAGCCATATTCTCGAAAGAAAAAAACTACGCACGCGGTGTCCATGACTTCCGTACAAGCGTAGCCTCACAAACGAGCCACGTCTCCGGTAAGCATCTGTGGGCTTTCAGCTTGCAGGGGGTCTCCGCAGCCTTTCAGAGACTGAAAATATCTTTGTGGATGACTGGCCAGCAAGAAACAGTCATCCATTTCCTGACTGGTTTGGCGAACACCTTAGCCATTTTTTTTGTTCGCCACCAAAAACATGTCTTCATCAAAAGTATGAAGTTCAGGCACTCAGCTGGGTAGTTGATTGCCCAAGATCATTTGGCCAACAAAAGCCCTGTCGCAGAAACCCTGAACAAATTATTTTTCAACGACACTGGCTCCCTTCTTGGCGTCAAGAAATGCTCAATCCCCTATGGGAGAGCCCAGAATTTGTGTGCTGACCCTCCCTCCCGAGGGCACAAAGTCTGGAACACCAAAAGGACAACAAACATGGCCAGGAGACAAACCCTCGTTGTCTGGCAGCTTCCAATTCTGTTCCTGATTTTTTGGAGGTTCACATTCCTATACCGCACCCCCGTGTCCATGTCAAATGATGTCAGTCCCCCTTTTTTGGCATGCCAAAAGAGTCTTACTTGCTACTGAAAATAATATACTGTGTATTTACCGTGGAACACCGAGTTCTTCAAAATACGGTTGAGGTGTTTCTTTACTAGCCCCGGCTTTTCACTGGCCCCGGCGCAGCACAAGGCCGGCCTCTAAAGAGAGGTTGGCTGGGCGGGTTGGTGGGTCCATCCCCAGCATCGGTTGCTTGCCAGGGCTGCGTATTGGGCGTGACTTGGTGGTAGTTGAGAGTTGCTCGCCGCATCCCCATCACTGGCCTTGCTCGGACTAGGGCTGCTGATTGGCTTTGCTTTGGTGGCAGTTCAGAGTTGCTCGGGGCTGGTTTGGGGTGAGTGTTAGGCTTGCTGAGGTCTTAATGAGGGCGGCTCTTGTGCTTGTTGGGGCTTCATTTAGGCCCAGCCCAGGGCAAATATGCAGGATGCGGTTGAGATGGTTTCAGGTTGACTTTGGGTTGGTCTTGGTTGGTTTGGGGCTGATTTGTGCTAGCTGTGGTGGCTTTCTTTAGGGATGTGGTTGCGAGACCCGAGCAAGCCAATCAGCAGCCCGAGTCCGAGCGAGGCCAGTGATGCTGGGGATGCGGCCGGTTGAACGTGAGCAACTCTCAACTACCACCAAATCACGCCCAATACGCAGCCCTGACAAGTGCTGAACCGGGGATGCATGCGGCCAACCAACCAACCACCCAGCCCCCTGAGGGCAGTAAAACAAAAGAAACACCGGCTCATCAAAATAACATATACCCTGCCAAAAAAAGTAGTTTGTTGGGAGTAGGGGGTATTACAGATGTTTATAAGATCTCGAATACAGATTGCGGGCGACTACAAAATAGAGGGTAAATGAGGGCCAACACGCCCCAAACTTAACTCAACTGCCATTGGGGTCAAACACTCCCCAACTGCGGGCATGTTGACTCAGGCTTTTAGGCCAAAGATTTCGATCCCCAGCTGATTCTCCACCTCTACATAGTTGTCCTTTTAGGGGAAATAACCAGGGCCATCGATTTTCTAGCAAAGCAACGAAAAAGGACACCTATGCACCCCTAAACTTCGCATGATGCTTCTCTTCACTCCGGCGCTGGCGGTTGCCAGGGTTTCAATCCACACGAAAGCCCCAAGGTTGGCGTCCGATCCCATGGTTGAAAATCACCGAGAGTCTCAGTTCAGTGACCCTGGCAACAAAAAGGGAACCCTTTTTGGGGCTTGGACCATTCTTAGTGGGGCAGCCACAAAAAATCAAGGGGAAAAGGGCTGAACAACTGAGGAGTCCTCTCTCTCTATCTCTCTCTCTCTGCATGTTTTGTTCTTCGAAAGAGGTGGCCCGGTGGCCCTGGAGATTTCCAGGCGAACATCGGGTGCTTTGACATTTTGAATTGAACAAGGCCTCCATAGTGAATATCTCGAGTTCGGTGACGGCGAAGGGCACCCGATCTTCCACCGGCAAAAAGAAATAAAAAGAGTGGGGCTACAACATGGTGAGCTCGTCTTACCCCCCATGTTGCTTGAGAGTACTAAACTCGCAGAACCATCTACGTCCAAACGCCCACTGCTTTAAGGTATGTAGTCAGCTGATTCTAAAAGGAGGCATTGTGACTGGCTGGTACACGCCATTTGTGCTGTTTAGCGGAAAGAAAACGGCTCTTTTCCCAACAAGCTTAAGCCTAAAGAGCCAACAGCTTGTGAAATCACCTCACTTCTGATCGAGCGGATTGGGCCAAGAAACGTCCGAACCCAGGTGACTGCAGTCCACGAACTCGAGCGAGATCACGGGATTTCTCCCCGCTGGCGAAAAAGAAATCCTTAACCTCCGTTTGCTTAAGTCCCCGGGGAAACAATAAAACATATGTTCAGTAATTTGTGATAGATTCCCTTTAAAACCAACATGGGAAAAAAAAACATGTTCTTAACCAAATGGAGGCTTCAGGAGTCCGGAGAGTGCGTTCCGCCTGCTTGGCAGAGGGATCCGTGCGCTGTAAGGACTTGATCTTGTCCACGCAGGCCGCCTGAGCCGAGTCGATTTGGGTGTTGCCCTCTTCGAACCAAAGAACCGCCGGTAAAATCATGTTAACCCCGGAGTAATAAACCCCTGGTCGATTGGTAGGGGGGTGTCCCCTTTTAGTGGGGATTCATCACTTTTGGAGGGAGCACCCCCCCTAATAATGGAACGGGTTGATTAATCCTGGGTCAACATTAAGAGATTCACCTTTTGCCACAAACAAGGATGTGACTTCGAAATGCGTGCGCACGTGGCTCCCTTTGTGGGGCGGATGGACACCAAAAGGACAACCGCTATCAAAATGGGTACCCTCCAATTAGCATGGAACCTGGCAGGGTCCAGAAAGACGAGCTTCCTTTTAAAGGGACCGGGCCCGAGCTACAGGTTTCATGTTAACTGGGAGGGCAAGCCCCATTTTGGTGGTTGCGTGTTGGTTCCCTACATCCGAGCCTCTTGGCCGATGTGACGCTTCACCGTGGTTCTATGGGGTGAACACATGCCCGACCGCTGTTCCCTGTGGGTATATAGCATCATGTGATGCTGTGGATGAACAACCTCCTGTACCAACTCATGATTTTTGTTGGCGATTCTGAGCTTTACGGAATGTTGATCCACAGAAAGGGAGCCCTTAAACTGAACCATCTGATAGCTTTGGCCGCCAACTCTTGGCTTCACTCTGAGTTGCCCCCGTGCCTTGCGGTCCATCGCAGCCTATGGATCTGAGGCGCCTTTGGGTTCCTTGGGCCTGAGCTGCGAAGCAGCCTCTAGTTGGTCACCCAACAAACACCGAAAGCTACTGGTTGTTTTTTGGTGGCTTTTTTACCCATCCGGCCAAAACCAGGGAAACATAGAAGTCCGAAAACCCATGGAATCCGTGAGACAGTGCGTACTTCTAGAGAGGAACCACAAGGTTCTGCTGGATCTGCTATGAGCTGCTAGAATCACTTCAACAGGGTTCACTAAAAGAGACGTCAAAATAGCTGCTAATCGCGATCTTAAAGATGCACAACATGTCACAATGTGTGCATCGGAAACCCAGTTCCCAAAATCTACTTTCCACTTCTCAGTTGTTCAGTGACCCTGGACAAAAAGGGAACCCTTTTTGGGGAATACTTTTTTTAGTGGGGCAGCCACCAAAAAAAAAGTGGAAAAATAATTGGTGCCACTGAAAGACTGAGACTTTCCTATAGGGTCTAGTAAAACAAAAACTGAATCGTGCTGCTGGACTCTGGCCGACGTGTCGAGGTGTCAGATCTTGGTAGCGCGTCCCAGAAGCCAACAACCACCAGCACCCGGCATGGTGGTCCGAAAGGGTGGACCTGCGCTTTAAGAGTTGTTGGGTTTCACAATTTTCATGGCTGCATCGGTGGCCTGTTTTTTTGGGGGACTGTTCTTGAGTTCCACAAAACGCCAAAGATGATCGCAGTGCGTCACGTCAGGATTTGTTATGCGTTTCAAATAGGGAAAGCGCTAATTAGCCGTGTTGGCCCCTTGTTATTTACCACCTAAAATGGTCCAAACCCAAAAAGTGACAAAAGTCCAGGAACTCAGGAAATAAAGTTGACACCAACCTAAGGCTAACCTGGGGACCTAGAGGAAAACAAGGCGTGCACGAGCCAACGACAAACTGGAAGGGAGAACCTCCGTGCCGAAACCAGCTTGCCATGAGACCAACCCGAATGTTGGTAGAAACTGGTCACACCCTTGGAGTTCTGAATGCTCCAGCCAGGTTCTACGACTAAGTCACTCCCGAAGGGAAACCACCCCATGTCAGCTGTTTTGCGAGCACTTTCTCAATGAATGGCTTCCGGATGGCGCTTTCGGCCAGCCTTTGCCACAGCATTTGCTGTGGCATTTCTGCTCGGGTTGGGCGTTTCTTCCTCGAAGGGGCGGGGGAAATGGACCCATTTCAGTGTCCCTCTTTCAGGACCCATTTCTATGTCTCTTTGGCCTGCACAAAAACTGCCACTTTTCGATTGCTTGGTAGCGAGAGAACACTCACAAGCTAAGGCTAAAGATCCATTCCAAGAGCAGCCCCTCTTGAAAACCTGGCCTGGGATTCTTCATTAACAAGGTCCTCCAGTAGAGAGGTTAGAATAAGGGTACCCTTTTTACTTTAGTCTATTTTAGTAGGGGAACCCTCCCCCCAACAAGTCGGTAAAAGTTGGCACCTAGCTGCCAGTTAAGCAAGTCATCTCAACCAGTTCCTACCCCAAGACCCGCTGGGTGAAACAGGCGGCTCACACAAGAGGAGGCAAGTGAATGCCTCGGCTGTGATGTGCAGCACCAGCCGCTAGGTTTCAGAGGGGGCCCCACCTCCTCAAGGGATGCTTTACACGGAACCTACCAAAAAGACACGGGGGGGGCTTGGGCTTCCAATCGAGTGAACTCCATCGGAGCAAACCCCGGGCCTGGATGCAGGAACCCCGGGCCTGGATGTAGGGAGGTCGCCAAGATCCTCTTTCAAGTGGAATGGTTTCCCAGTCATACAAACACGCAAAAAACATGCAGGGACGATGTTCCGTGTGAGGTGTATGTCCCGGAGACCAACTGGATGATGATGATGATGATGATGATGATGATGATGATGATGATGATGATGATGATGATGATGATGATGATGATGATGATGATGATGATGATGATGATGATGATCATGATCGCCTGTTCTGATGGACCGCCATGCAGAACCCCGACAAAAAATCCTCGGCGTTTTAATAAAACGCTTTGGCCAGGTCCCCGAACCTTTCCTCAGGGGTTTATGGAGAGCCGTCGCGGGGGGACGGGAACTGAGGTGAGTGGCGCCCTTGTGTTGCTTTGGGGGGTTTCCCCACATGGTTCAATCCCTATTCCTGCCGTCGCTCACGGGAAATTGAAGACAAGAACGGAATGTGGCATCCTGCTCTTAGCCCCCCACTTTGGCTGTTTTCCTTTTCATTGGCAACTCATCTATGGGGTTGGTCATGTTTCCAATTTCCATTCTCTTCATCCATCATTCTCTTTGGAAACAACCCATTTTCAACCTGGGTTTACAATGACACGTACACAAATTGTAGGTATCAGCAATCCTTGGGACTCAAACCAGCGTTACACACTGGGGGCTAATACCATTGTTGAGAAGTTGCATCCTCTAAGGTGTACAAGGAGGGCGTTGATTTAGCCATATATACTTCCATTTGGTTTAGACCCCTGGAAAAATAAAACATATTTCCAGTAGTGATACATTCCTTTTAAAACCAACAAGGGGGAAAAATAATAACAATGATAATAATAGTAATAATAATAACAATAATAAACAAAACAATCTCAAGCAAATGGAAGTGTGTGTATATATATATATATATATATGTGCATTCATGGTTCTGACCTTGCCTGACGTCAGAGCATGCGACCCACTGAGACCAGCTCGTTCCTCCGACTGACCGGACTGACCCGGCGCTTGCCTCAGGCCAAGCGGGCCAATCGCGAGAGCCTTCAAACCCTCAGTTGCTCAGTGACCCTGGGAAACAATGGGAACTCTTTTTGGGGCTTGGACCATTTTTAGTGGGGCCACCACCAACAAAAAGGGGAAGAAGAATGGGTGCCACTGAAGAACTGAGAACCCAGAAAGAGCCCACACCTCATGGCTTGGCTGAAATTAGGACCCCAGCAAAAAAACAACATATGTTTTGCCTGGTTAGAGGAAAACAAAAGGGGGGGGGAGGGAGCTCAAATACGCCCTAAACAAGGCCTTATTAAGGGAGAAATAAGGGCTTAATAAGGGCTTATTTGATATCCCTCCCCCTCTCCTCCCTCCCCCCCAGTCCCCATGAACACCATTTCTTTGCACTCCCAAGGGGAGAAATACCCAAAAACAAAGCCAAGCAATTTTGACCCCCAAGATCCCCCAAGTTTTGGAGCTGTTCGCAAGGTGTTCAGTGAACCTGATCGCGGTCCATAGGGCTGCGATGGGTAGACTTCGCAAGTCGCCAGGTTGGCGGCCACGGTAATTTACATGCCTTACACCAAAAGTGGTCTCCCAGTGTGACGTTCTCCCGAGACGTCTGTTGTCTTCCCGAATCAGCCATCGATCGCATGGCGGTTTCCCATGGGCCCAACTCGGTTTCTCAGTGCTGCACAGGGTCGCTTCACCCCGAAGCGAAACGAAAAAGAACATCGTCCCGATTCATTTCACCCTCTCGCACCCCTAAAGCGGAAATTGACTCCTCAAAAGGTGAGACATGTAAAAGCACAGGGGTCAAACTTGCACCCCTGAATACAGTTGCACCTTGTGGAACCTGACTGTTAGCCCACAGCTACGGAGACAGGACTTGCCATTTCACTTGGGCCCTTTGCATTTGCAATGGACCAAATTCCGCAGCTTGTGGGCTTATTTCCATGGGTTGTGTATATTTCTCAAAATCCACAGAGGGTCCCGATTCCTGGCGGCCAACCTTTGGAGGTTCCCCGCATTCAGAGGATCCAGGTCAGGCGCCTGTATGCCGCTGGTTTCATCAGGGTGCGCTCGTCGTGGGTGTTCAATAGGGGGTCTGAGCAAATAAGTGCTCATTTCCCCTTTGCACACCAAGACACCATGCCCACTTTGTATAAGGATATGATGTCAAATTCATGATGTCACCACCTGGCTCACTGCAAAAAAACAAGGTATTTGGAGCGGGGGGAAAAAATAGTAAAAGGGATTTGAAGGAACTGAAAATCATTTTACTATTTTTTTCTAACAAGCAATGAAAAAACACATTGAAAAACCAAGTATCAAATAATAGATAAGGTTAATAAATCACAACCTTATTCATTCTAAGTAATTCCTAGAAAGATGCACACCTTATTCATTATTTTTTCACTACTTAACCTATTTCATTTTACTATTTGTTTACCCTTATTCATTTTGTGTTTTAAGTCTTTTTCCAATTCTCAGAAACTCCAGTTATTCTTCATTTTTTCTTTTTATTTTATTCATTGTTCGCGAATTTTTCACTCAGACTTAAAAATATGACTAAAACACATTTCACATAATAGTTCCACAAAACCAAACAGCCTAAGCACACAAGAAAACTAAGAAAATCAAATATTTCAATCTTTACAAACCATAAGTTCAATATAATTATAACATATAAGATTTTACATGTTATTATTATAGTATGATTATAATTTCAGTACAGGATAATAATTTAATTGACAAATCTTACTTCTTTCATACATCATTTTAAAAATAATATTAATATCTCTCAATGTATTTTGAATATTAAACTTTTTACGTTCAATAAATAATTTGATATTTTCTTTAACATCTTCTCCTTTCTCTTGACTATAGCCCAACATCCATAATATATCATAAATCATGTCATATTTTTGTTACTGATTTTAAGAAACTGTTTAACATAATCATAAGGTGGTATTTTATTTACAGATAGAAATATTAAAATCTCATCTTCTACATTTCAATTATTTATTCTTTTTATTCCCATCAGACATTTGATTAATTCTTGATAATATCTCCAATTTCTACAATTTTTACATATGTCTTCTTCACCAACCATTGAATAATTAATAATATTATTCACTATGTCATTAGGTAAATTCAATTTATACAATTCCATATTTTCTTTTTTGAAGTGACAACACTTATAGCATTTTTTATTGATATAATTATTGATTTTATCACCGTTCATTTTCCTCTTATTATATTAAGGCACTATTTCTTTAAGTCATTTTTAAGGCATTAATAAAAATTAAGAAACAAACCATAAGTTTAGTATAATTATAACATATACGATTTTACAATGTTAATTTATATTATAACAACATAATATACATACACCGTATTATTATTATTTTTGTCCAAATTCAATCAAAAATTAGGGATTACAACCTAATATTAGGGAGATTGCTAATTGCCACCTATCATTAGGGGGCTTGCCACCTAATATTACGGGGATTGCTAATTACCACCTATCATTAGGGGGCTTGCCACCTATTATTAGGGGTTTTCTTTTGAACCCAGCAAGGTATCAGCACAGAATGCGACCGGCAACACTGCCTGTCCCACTAAACATCTCTAATAAGTTCATTATTAAAGATATTTAGATAATATTATCTATGAATAAAAATCCCTGTTTCCTCGTTAAAAACTAAACTATGTTTAGTTTTCAATGAGTAAATGTAACTTTATGAATAAAGTTGCGTTTCCTCATCATAGTCAATTTGATAAAATGCCATAGTGGAGGACTTCGGCTCTTTTATCTCTTTGTTGTTGAGTTTGTTTAAATACACTTGTTTCTTATTTTTATATTCGCCATTGGTTCTATCTACTTCTTTACTTTGATAACTGTTTGTTACTGGTTTCTTCTTTTCCATTTCTTGCAAGATTTCTAAAATATTCTTATTCTGTTCTAAAACCTTGTTCAGTTTTTTAACAATCTTATCTAATCCTTCATCCATGTAAATATATACTAAATTATAAAACTAAACTTTTAAAACTAAACTTTTATTTTACGAAATCATATATCATTATAAGTCAATTCAAAATTAGTTATTGTGTAACTCGTTAAATTATTATTCAATTTACCAATTAAATTACAAATAATAGTTTTTCTAAATTTTGAATATTTATGAAACTTTTCAATATTATCTGTAATATAAATTATTAAACATTTAATACATTCAAACACATTAACAACATTAATGTTACTATTTTTGTAAATATTATTCATTTTTCTCAATGTAATTTCATAAAACTGAATAGCATTTTTATTATCATAATTAGCAATAAATCTTAAAGTATATGAATATATTCTTTTACAATAGAATTTTAAATCTGATTGTTCAAATAAATCAGCATAATTAATAGAATTATAAAACATGTTAAAATCAATTTTGCTATTTCTAAAGTCATTAACAAAATTAATTAATATATCATTTTCGTTATATTCTTCAATAAAATTATTCAATTTCAATTCTTTTACATCAATGAATTTAATAATATTATTTATAACATCTTGCATTATAAATAATAATAGAAATAATTTTAACTATTATTTTTTCATCATTTCGCGTATAGTTTCCTGAGTTTCCTTATCACCATTATCTGATGGAGTAACTCCCCTCCCAAAGCGAATAGCAATATTATGAACATCTGTTTCTAAGTTTATACTGTCTTTAGTTTTATCAATATTCATTTTCTTATCATTCTTACTTATTTTGAAACTGGTTGGAATACACGAACATTTGCAATTTCCCTTCTTTTGTATTTCTAATTCATTTTTTAATTCTAACATCTTTTTACACATTGGACAAGCAAACTCAATAACTGATGTTTCTTTAACAATTTCTTCATCAGTTGAAGAAACAACTGGTTCAGTCTTATTCTTTTTCTTTTTTCCCATTTATATTAATATTCACATTTTTATTTTTGATATATTGTATAACAAACTTAATTAATTCTAAAACAAAATAACATATTTTTTTACATCTATTATTAGTTATAACAACTTGTTCTATATTCTCTATTTCATCTATTATATCAATATAATCTGAATAGCTTCTATTCATATAAAATAATAAATATTAAATTATTTTCTAAATGTCTTTAATATTATTTTTATTATGCCTGATGTAAAACCAATTGATGAAATCAAATATGACTTTAAGCAAAGTAAGCACGAGGTCGTCCCTAAATTGCCGATGAGAGCTATGATTGTAGGTCCGTCTGGTTCTGGAAAATCAACTTTACTTGTATCAATGATACTTGATATTTATAGAGGAGCATTTGAAAGAGTTTTTATCTGGTCCCCATCTGTAAATTTGGATAGTACTTGGTTGCCAGTGAAGAAATACATTAAGGAAGGTTTGAAAGTAGATACTGATAAAGAACCGTGTTGGTGGGATGAGTTCAATGTTGAAGATATAGAAAGAGTTATAGAAACTCAAAATAAAATAATTGAATACCAGAAAAAACAAGGAATGAAGAAGTTATTTAATATATTAGTTATATTGGATGATGTATCTGATAACCCAGCAATAACAAGAAATAACAAATTGTTAAATTCTTTATTCTGTAGGGGACGTCATAGTGGAATATCAACGCTTGTCAGTCTTCAGAAAGCATCAATTGTCCCACCAATTATTAGAGTAAATATAAGTCATTTGTTTTATTACAAAGTTAGAAATTTTAAAGAAATAGAAATATTACAAGATGAATTATCGGCAATTGTTAGAAGCGATAATTTACACGAAAGCAAGAAACTAATTTATAAAATATATGAGACCGCCACTGATGAACCGCATAGTTTTTTATATATTAACCTTTTAGAAAAGAACCCAGATAAAATGTTTAAGAAAAAGTTTTCTCAATATTTGAAAATTACTAATTAATTAAATAAATATATTAATATTATATGATATTTTATGATTTACCATTAGACATTAAAAACCTTGTATTATCTTA